TAATGAGAGACGGAATGGATGGAAGCTGAAGGTAGTCTTCTCGAGAAATGTGAAGGAGTGTCGAAAACCATGCTTGGCGTGGCCACCATGGGGTTATCAATATTCCTGTGGCCACGTCGTGGATTATCTTCGAAATCACCCTCATAATGAGGGGAATCGGGGGAAAGGCGTAAAAGTGAACATTGTTCCACAGGATCATAAAGGCATCTCCGGATAACCCATGCCCAATTCCCGCTCTCAAACAAAAAACTTTGCAAACCCGGTTGCTCCGGGTAGTGAATAGGTCTATGTCTGGAAGACACCAGTGCTGGAGAAGGTGGTCGCATGTCCGGCAATCCAGTTCCCATTTGTGGGATGTGGACGTGTGTCTGCTGAGGAAATTGGCTTCCACATTGTCCCTACCAGCGAGGTGCACTGCGATCAGGGAGGTGCCTCTCTGAATGCACCACTCCCAGATTTGTATCGCTAGGCATTCTAATGTTGGCGACTTCATTCCTCCTTGCTTGTTCAGATAAAAGACTGTAGCGATGTTGTCCGAGGTTATCTGAACGACTCGATGGTGAAGAACGTGCTCGAAGGACTGAAGAGCCTTGTAAACTGCTAGAAGTTCCAGGAAGTTGATATGATTCCTGGACTCTTGTCGATTCCAAGCGCCCTGAGTACGTAGGCTGGAGCATAGAGCTCCCCAGCCGAGCAGAGATGCATCGATACCGAGAGTCGCCGTCGGGCGTCGTGGTTGGAATGGGACCCTGATATTTGGGTTGTCTGGCACTGTCCACCATATGAGAGATTGAAGAACTGAGGAGGGAAGTCGAATCAGCTTTGTGGGTAAATCTCTTTGTGGCCGAAAAACCTTGTTGAAGAAAAGTTGGAGGGGCCGAAGCCTGGCATACGGGACGACCGCAACGGATGCAGCCATATGCCCTAGTAGCCTTTGGACAGAGCGTGCAGGAACAATTTTGTCTCTTTGAGTTCGACAGATGTGTCGAGCAACAGTGCGTTGTCTGTCCTGGGGGAGGAATGCCTTCGTTACCGTAGAATCCAGACAAGCTCCGATGGAATGGATCACCTGTGCAGGAACAAGAGCGGATTTCTCATGGTTAATACGAAGTCTGAGATCCCATCGCAGGGAGCAGGTAACGTTTATAGCAGAAGACAGTGCTTCTTTGGTTTGGGAAACCAACAATCAGTCATCAAGGTAGGGGTATATCTGGACCCCTCGAAGTCATACGTGCGTGTGCACAGGGGCCATACTCTTCATAAAAACCCTCGGGGCAGTGGCCAGTCCAAATGGAAGCACCGTGAATTCATAGATTTCAGACGCAACAGCAAAACAGAGGAAATGCCTATGACATGGATGGATTGAAATATGAAAATAAGCATCTCTCAAGTCCAGTGAGGTGAACCAATCCTCTCTCCTCAGCAGCGGTAAGATATTTTGAAGAGTGGTCATCCAAAATTTCTTTGGAGTTATGAATTTGTTAATATCTCTTAGGTCCAATATCGGTCAGAGACCACCATCCCGTTTCGGGACTGTAAAATATCTGGAACAGAATCCGTGGAGTCCTTCTGTTAGAGATAAGCAATGAATGGCTCCTTTGGAAAGGAGTTGGCGAACCTCTTCCAGCAACACCTGTGAGCTGGGAGTAAACCGGATGGGACTCGATGGAGGAATAACATCAAATTCTATTCGATATCTGTGCTGAATGATGGATAACACCCAACGATCAGATGTAATGGACTCCCAAACGGGAAGTTGACTTTTCAGCCGGTCCCCGAATGAGAGGGGGAAGGGTGAGGTTAGGAGGAGAGGAAGGGTTCACCCGCCCCATCAGCACTGGCGTTTATCCTCATCAAAGCAATGACGGCTTTGCTGGAAGTGCTGGGATGGTTGCTGCCTATGACGTTGTTGGCGTTGATGTGGTTGCTGTTGAGGCTGGTATTGTTGGCGGTATTGTGGATGGGTCCATGACCACTTATGTCAAGGCTGGGACTGTAGTTCCATACGACGGGCCGTCATCCTCGATTCGTGGATCTTCTTTAATTTGCTATCGGTCTTCGCATTGAAGAGACCAGACCCGTCAAAGGGCATCTCCTCGATTCTCCACTTCATTTCTTCTGGAAAGTTGCAATTACCTAACCAGGCGTGTCTGCGGAGAGAAATGGCACCGACAGGAGACCTTGAGTCTGTACCAACATGGCGCCTGGCTGTGGAAAGCTGCTGCACCGCCACTTGCATAGCTTCCTTTACAAAAACCCTTGCCAACTCGCCTTGATTGTCTGCGAAGGCAGCAATGATGTTGTCTAGGCGCTGCATGAGGAAGTATTGATAGCGCGCCAAAGTCGCCTCATAGTTTGAGATTCGTAAGCCAAGCCCAGAAGCCGCATAGACCCGGTGTGCTAGGGAGTCGACTTTTCTTCCCTCCTTATCACGAGGCGCGGTGTGTCCCCGTGCCTCCTGGCCCTGAGAAGGCTCCACAACGACCTAGTTCAGCTTGGGGTGACGGAGGAGGAACAGAATATCCCCCTCCCGAACCCAGTACATGGATTCATATCTGCGTGAAGTCAGTTGTGGATGAGCTGGGAGGTCCCACGGTTGAGTCAGCGCCTGTCGTAAGGTTGTTATAAACGGCAGGGCGATGGAGGTGGATTGCTCGCCCCTGACCACATCGTAAAAGCAGTTGGTACTGGGTCCTGGTTGTTGGTGGGCTTCAATCTCAAGTGACTTCACCAGCCTGGACATCAGTTCGGCAAAAGAGATGTGCGGCTCTTCAGGCGATCCCAGGCCTTGCGAAGTAACCGCTGCATCTGGTGAAGTCGAGTCGATCTCTGACTTGTCCGAGTCCATCCAGTCAGGAGGTGGGACACTGGAGGAGGAATCTCCTGGCGACTCTGATCTGCTGCTCTCTCTAGATGGTGCCCTCGGGGCGTCTCTAGGTGTAGAGTGAAAACGATCCTGAGGAGCTGGCGGAGAAGTTCATCCTCTGGGTACCAGGAAGTAGCCGACAGACTGGTATTCTTCCCATCTCAGAACGGAGGCGTACCGGGACTGGTACCAGTCATCGGATCTGGCATCCAAAGAACGACTCCTGCGGCTTCTCGGGGTAGACATGCCCATGTCGGTATCCAGAGGAACAGGCGGCATGGGTGTTGGAGACCAAGCTCTCAGTGGTGAATCTCTTATTTCGCCATCTGAAATCGAGCCGCGTTGTAGATCCTGGAGTAGTTCGGATCCAGTCCGGCGCGGGGAGCCTGGCGGAGTGACCCTCATAGCCACCTGGATGGCCGGGATCGAGGGGGTTGGTACCGCAACTGGAGTCGTGAAAGAAGAAGCCGCCGAACCCAAGTGCAGATGCTTGGAATGCTCGGGGTGCCTCGGTTTTTTAATCGGCTTTCCGGCTTTATCCTTTTTTGGCCTTCTTGTGCACAGACAACTTTCCCGGGTCACTGTGCTTCCTCTTCTCCGTTTGTTTCCTTGGTGGGGAAACAGGCTGATTGCCCATGGTAGGAGTGCCTTCATCGGAAGGGCGGGAGAGCGGAGCAGTTGAGGAAGAGGCCGGGTGGTGAGACGGATCGGCCGAAGTTGGACAGCTTTCAGGTGGAGCCAAAGTTGTGGGAGGCTTAGCCACCAGCCAGTCCGATTGGAGGAGAGCCTGGGCCCACAGGAGTTTGAGGAGGTGGTTCTCCCGATTCTTCCTCGCCTGGAGAAGGTCAAGCAGTGGCCACATTTATCTGTCCTGTGCCCTTCCCCCAGGCAAAGGAAGCACAGGTCATGCAGGTCCGCAGCGGGCATTTTGGAGCCACACTTCCGCACCTGCAGAACACCTCCCGTTGCACCATCGCAGAAGCAGAAAAGTATAGAGGGAGTAGATAATATTTTTGGTTTTTGTTTTTTTATAGGAACAAGGAGAAGTGAAAAAATGAAGTACTAACGAGTAACATGAACAAGGGAATACTAACTTGGTAAGAGAAAAGAGGTAAGTAAAGATCTAAGTGAGAGCGAAGCGGCATGAGGCACAATGAACGACAGTCGCAAAGACTGGAAAATGGCGGACACTCCACTCCATATATACTGCTTGGGGGGAGGGGAGCAGTTTTCCCGCCAAGACCGTTAGCTATCAATCTTCCGGCCACAGGCACTGCGCAGGCGCAGAACCCACATGTGTGATGCACAGAGGTCACGATGAAGAACTTCAATGTTCCAGAGTATTTATTTTGCACACAAAGTTTTAGGGGTTTTAGCTAATTGTGTCATTCACTAGTGTAAAGCTTCAACTGGTTACAGAAATCCTGTTTTTTATCCTTACTCAACTGCCAAATTTGATTCAGTTGCTGTACAACTCATTAGACTAGGTGTTATTTGTGCTAGTTATTGTACCATTTGCTGTAGTAGAGATTGTGTCTTGTAATTTTTCTGCTGGCGTTCTGTTGACTATAACTTTAGCTCTCCTAACATGTAAGTCCATGCAAACTGTTTCTCCCTGGGTTGAAATCCTCACAAAATGTTTTTAATGAAATGCCCACATTTTGCTGGGCTTCTGGCATGTTCAACTTAAGTCCAGATGGTGACTTTACCTCAAAAACAAAAAGCTGAAATCAGAGAGGTTGCCCATGATCTTGCCCTGGCTTAGTATTCAAATTGGTCACTATTCTTCATTTAGGATGTGATGTTGCAAAGGCAGGAGTACATAGAAACATAGAAACAGAGTAAGTCAGAAGGGGTCTCCTGGGCCATCTAGACTGACCCCTGGCTCTGTTCATGACATACCCACCATGGCCCCAGCATTCACTCCTGTCTCCCTAAACCATCGTCTATGAAGCCAGCAACATTAGCATCATTAGTTTATGAAGCCAGCACTATTTTGTGTGAACCTGTGTTATCCTTCTTCCAGGTGGCCAGGTGCTATTATTGCAAAGCTCATTCAATTAAAAGATAGCTCAAGAAAGCTTTTCTTATAACTGATACAAATATCTGAGAGAACATTTCAGTATGTGTCATCTTGACAGTGTTGATCATAAATACAGATATTTATTAATTTGCTATACCTGTACAATTAACCATAAGCTTCACTAGATACTTGAAACCTGTTAGCACCTCACATAAAATATTCTGAATGGAAAAAATATAGAATTCAATGCATGCAGTCCAACTTCTCATTTTATATCACATCAGAGCATTAAAATATCAACATTATTATTAATAATAATAATAGAAAAATTGCAGGGATGATTTCATAGAAGATTAAAAGCTTAATATTTTGACATGATAGAAGATATGCAGACAGAGGCAGTATGCCTCTGAATACCCATTGCTGTGGAACATGACAGGCAGGTGCTGTTGCAGTCATATCTTATTTATGGGTTTCCCACGGTTATCTGGTTGGCCACTCTGAAGATACGTTGGCTGCCCTGGTCTTTGGTCTGACCAGCAGGGCTCTATCTCATGTTCTTATGGTAGGGAGGAGAGAAACAAACTGACTTTTGCTGATGCTGTAATACATCATCCACTAATTTCAGCAGTAGTTTTGTGCAGGACACCTGCCCAAGACGCAAATGGGGATAATATCACAGTAACACTTCGTTTCATCATCTGCAGATTTTTAATCTACTGCAGGAATATAGCCATGTTGGCCTCTGTATTCCATCACTGCTAGAAATATGTTCATTGCAAAGTACAATATGTCACAAAGCACATTTCCAAATGTTGAAAGCATAGATAGTATGGATATTGAATCTGAAAACATTTTAGAAACACAGAAAAGCCACATAGCTGCAGAATGGAATGTGAGTTTGATAGGTTACACATATTTATTTATTTAGGCTATTTATAGGCCATCCATCACTTTCATCTCATTCATATTGGGTGCTTTAGCAGTGTGGCTTGGTAAGAAGCCATAATGCCATTTGAAATGTTTGGTAACATGAAAGGTATGTCCACTGAATCCCTCAGCCTTCTGATGGAAAACTTCATCTTGGCTCAAAACATTCAGAAGCAGTTGAGTCTAACTATTGCTTTTTCCTTTGTCTGTATATTGACCTTCCTTCAGTTGAATACCAAGAGAATAAGATGGGTAAAATAGAGAAGATCACTTGAATGTTTGATCTTTGGTTATCCTTAAGGTTTTTGGAGAGCAATTATTTTTTTTCTTTTGAAAAAATCCAAGAAAACAAAAATACATTCTATGGGCTGCTTGGACAGCAATTGTTCTGATGATCAAACACAGATAATCATTTTCTAGCATTGTGGGTCATTTTGAGACTAGATTCATTGTAAAGCTACTTTTATATTGTCTAAATGCTGTATGTGGACAGAGAACAGATATTACAAATGGTACAAGAGTGGAGGTTCCTAGCTAACCCATTTCTAGGGAAGGAAATACTTATTTTTACCCAAAATAATTTTCAGATTTCATCCCTATTCAAATATGAGTAAAAAGCAGACATTTTCAAGAACGTCTCAACGTATTTTTGAGAAATCGTATCTTTAATTTGCAATCTTGTTCTAGTTGTGCATGTACAGACCTGCTGGTAAGATGCTGTAAAACTGTTCTTCACAGTGGCTTATATTCTCAATCTCCAACAAATTAGCCCTTTGTTGAGTAAAAAGCAATATTGCACCATTTGTTAAGGCTGTTGTCTTTCATCTTGACTATAACTACTGCATATCTTAAAACACTAAAACCACTATGAGTCACAGATATTTAATCAACTAGTCTTACCTTTAAGACATTTTATTAAAAAGTTAATTCTGTTTGCTATCTTCTGGCATATCCTTAATTAGTTCTTTTACATTTAAGTTTTGAGAGAAAAATAACATTCCAACAGCAAGACATTAAAAAAAATCCAGATTGTCGTGCAATGTAAATAGATTGATACAAGACTAGAAATATAACCTGCCACTTTCTAGTACCTTCATAGTTTAAGGGACTTAAAATGAATTAAAATAAAATTCTGTTTGGCTTTATGTAATTTCTTATCTTGCTGAGTCAATCTCAGAAGACTATTTAGAACAGTAATGTTTAAACAATCATTTCTCGGGGAACCCATGCCATATTAAACTTGTCTGCTAATCACTCTTGCTCTTTGACCTGTCTTGAGAAGGATTCCAGAACACTAGTTTTGCACAGATGCCACTGTGCATATTTCACAGGAAGATCAGCAAGGGTGAGTTAGGTCTCTGCCTTTACTGATATTTGCACGGAGGCAGCTGCGTTCCCTAGCACACACTTTGAAAAATGGATTAAACTAAGAAACACACCTTACTTCCTATCCCCAGACAGACAGTATTCATTTTTCCACAAAGGTGAAAATACTAGCAAGGTCAGCACCAGCATGAGAGTTATGACAATTAAAGCGAATCCTTTAGTATACATACTGCCCTTGAAAGTTAGGCATTCGGAAGACCAGGACTGTCCAAAATCAGTATTACTCTCATATACAGGATTGGAGGCATTTACTTGGATACAAAACCTTAAACAAAAAGCTGTGGTTTCAACACATAGCCACAAAAAGGCTTAAATTCCAATTGTGCTCTTTTTAATGTTTAAAAAATCTAAATAACTGTGCGAATGAGTATAATTTTTACTTAATGACATCTTGCTAGTGAAGAAAACACAGTGGAAGCACCAATAATAAAATTTGCACTTTGAAAGACAAACACTCTGGTCAGATATTCATATGAGTATAGACTACAGTGGAGTAATTCTCGGGCTGTCATTCAGTTTCTCCTGTCACAGTGCTGGGTTCTCCTGTAGATGGTTTCTCCCTGAATTTGCTATCCACAGTAGGATTCAAAAAGAAGCCCAAGAATGGGTTCAGGGATTCAGAAGGTACCAGAAAATGACCATCTTGACTGGCTCCAAAGGCCTTCGTCTTTGCAAGATATATGAACAATAAATAATATACAACTTTAAAAATGATTTATCATGCAGCAATTCTATTTCAAGTACTTCGTTAGTAAGATGAGTTGAGCAATGATACTAACAGATTATTCTTAGCATTTCTACACAAAGATGAATCAACTGCTTCTTAAATTCTGTCATACTGCAATTCAGTTCCGAATATACACAACATTAAGCAAAATGCTTGCAACCAGTTGAAACAATTCTGGGACAACAAACTGTTCTAGTATTATAGAATTAATTTTAACTAGGAAAAAACCCAATTATGCAACCCCCACCCCTGCTCAGGACATGTCATGTGACCCTGATGAGTTTGGGTTATGCTAGAATTAAACAACACATGGTCTCTTTAACTCTTGCTTAATCCTTGCTCACTGGGTTTACATGACACAGCATCCCCTATGAGTATTGTGGGTTAAATAACCCACAATGAGCTGACCAGTACGCCGTCCAAACCTCCATTGGCTATACTGCATAGATTGACTAGAGACAAACACTTACGGCACACTTACAGCCAAGGATGTTTTGTGAGCTTCCCAGAGGCACCTGGCTTGCCACCTCTGGAAACAGAATGCTGGACTAGTCTGAACCTAAAAACTTCTTCTTACGCCATCTTTGAAAAAGCCAATTTGGGGTAAATATTATGGCATAGGGTTGGTGGGGAATGAACTCTTGAAAGGCTGCTTGCAAAAAACAAAAAAACAAAAAACAAAACAAACCCCATATCCTCAGTGATGACAAAATTTGATGACAAAAAAAATCCTATACAAAATGTGACTAATAGAATATTTCACATTTTTCTTATCCTTTTTTATGGCACATACACAATTAAAGAATGAATGAAGAATGAAGTTCTTCAATGATGTTACAGAATGAAGTTATCAGACTTGACCAGTGTGAGCAGAAATAGAGGTGAACTGCCGTTCAACATATTCTGAAATCATTGTCAAGGATCTGAAAGGACTACAGAGCCTCGGCTCAGTGTTTTGCATGTATAGACAAAAAAAGAGTCCTATATCTTCCCTATGCTGAGAAATGTTGAGAGATTTGTTGCCATAACGTGCATAGGATTGTGCCCTAAAACTACTTCTATGAGCCCAAAATAGCTTTCAACTCATTACGTTCAATTTGACATTCACATGCTTTACACCAAGCTTCTTTTGAAAAGGAGTTACAAATTTCTGTGATATGACATAGGAAGGGCACCTGTTTGTGGGGGCAGGGGAACAAAGAAAAAAAACCCACTGGGCCAACCCCCTGAACATATTTGTGTCAGGTTTCCAACAACAAAGGAGATGCTGATTTGATTTTACTGGAAGCAATTTTCACATGATTGTCTTGTTTGGTAACAGTCCCATGTCAAGAGTTTTTCATACAAGAAGCAGTCCAACAATCTTTTCATAGCTGACTCACAATCAGACATTCAAATAAAATAATTACTGCTAGGGTAAAACAGATTCAAGATTATTTTTGCACATCAGAATATAAGAGAACAGTTAAAATGTTTCTACACAATAGCCACAGTACTATGGTATGTTAGTAATCTCTGTAGCATGACTGGGGAGACACTCCAACTACTGCTGAGCCAAACATGGAAAGAGACTCATCTCATTCACATTCTCACCACTTGGGAAATGTGCCCCCACTGTTTGGAGACAATACTTCCTATCCTTGCTTTGAGACTGCCATTTAGCCTAACATGACATCACATTAACAACATGATTGGCTGGGATCACAAAACAAAAGAACAAAGGTGACAGGTAAGAGGAGAAAACAACACTGGAACATAACATAAGGAAGGCTCTGAATATCCATCAGTCTGTGTAATAAAAATGGTAAACACTGAGGCATAATTTGGGAAAAGTTTTGGCCTTCCCCATAAACCAATTTATGCTAAGAATGTTTTATAGAGAATATTCAGTGATTGTTAATTTAAAACAGATACTGTAAAACTCACCCTGCATTTTGAAAAAGGAGTAACTTATGAATTCTTCACTGCAGCCATCAGTGGTTTAACTAAATATATGTCTCACCTGACAAGCTGGCTTAGTTGCTGTTCTGGCTGATGACCTACTTTCTGTGGTTTTCCTATGTTTCAAAAGTCTATTGAAATTTTGCAACATTTTTAAAAAATCTGTTATGTTGTAAGCAGTTTTAGAACAAGCATTTACTATGTACAACAAGACAAACTCCAGCAGTTGCATTGTTAAATTACTTTCTTCTTTTCGTATCAGATCCAGTAGAGCCACCTTAAAGTCATTTCAGTCAATGAGTAACAATCAAAACCTATCTTAGGACAGCTTGGGCTTAACCTAATTATGGCAAACAGTAGTTCAAACAATGCCCTAAAAACACTCTCAGTGTTGCCATGTGGTATGCCTTCATTGTAGAAAATATGAAGAACTGAGAGCATAAAGCTCTGCACAGCAGGAAAACAGGAGATGGCCGAAAGTACTTGATGACGAACATTACCCCACAAATCAGAGGGTTGGGCAATATTTGGCAGGTAGGTAGGCATTCCTCTGACCATATTTCAGTTTTTTTAAAATAAGTTTCTAGCCCTTATGAGTGCAGTGCAGTGCTGAGCTGAAAGCTGTGTTATAAAAATTCTAAATGTTCAGATGTTAAACACTAGTCTTCAACACCTGTGAATCTGAAATCCAGTTAATCAACCCTTTTGACCCCAACTTTGAGAGTACCAGCATGAAGGAATATGCCTAGCAACATATGCCTAGGAAATGCCATAGTCTCCATAATAAATGTGCAGTCATATTAAACACATGCAACCAAATATATAAAACAGTAGCAGATTTCTAGAACATTATGTATTTCTCAAAATCAACTCCTGAAGCACACAGAATAGATTCGTTATTCTCGTTCCCACTGTTGTCTGCTATCTCCAGTCGAACTACTAATGTATTTGGATACAATGAAATACCAATTTGCAACTTGTGTGGCAATATTGGCCTCTGAAAATAGACACGAGTACAACAAAACTAGAACCAGATCCATGTCCAGAAGTAGTAGACAGTCAAATCTAGATACCCCAAACTGCAGCACTTAGTCAGATAAAAAATGGTTTCCTATGTGTGAAATTTTATTTCAGTTTACAAAGTACTTGTATTTTTCCTGGCACTTCACTTTTTTCTGTGAACTTTACATTATACTGAGTCAGACGTTTGGTCAATTTCGCCCAGTATTACTCTATTCCAGAATGGCAGCAGCTCTCTAAGACCTCATGCAGATACCATTCAAAGTCCTGCCACCTTTAACCTTGCAAATAGAAATACCAGGAATTGCACCCCCATTCTCTAGCATGCAAAGTACATACACTACAACTTTTCCTATACATAACCGAGGTAAAGCATACATCTTTCATCCTGGATGTACACTGAACATTAAGGTAGGGTCCATGTTTGTTGTACTTGTTTCCAAGCAGCAAATCATACCAGAGGTTATAAAATTGGTGATCACTACTGGATGAATTTCAAATGGAGTATTGTGAACATCCAGAGGTGTACTACAACACAAAAGTAAGACTGCAACTAAACACATCCAAGTTTGAACATAGGGTGAGCCTGTTGCATTATGTATATAGTTCGGGAATTAGCAGTTAGCTGCCTGGTCATGCAGTGAGTAATTAGCTAAAAATAAAGCCTCACTTTTCCCTGACTTGTACTTTTTCTTAACTCTGATGGGTAGGCTAGATATGAACAGAGACAAAGTCAGAAGAAAAATAAAATATTTCATTTGTATTCAGCTCATGCCTTCTGTTATTTTTCTGACAGATCTCAAGATAGGAACTAGGGAACAAGGAGCACGCCTAAGACCGCTAGCAACTGTGCACGATATAGCCAAAGAACTGCCTTCTTTGGAAGTGTTAAGAGAAAATTGGATGAATATCTGTCACAATCCAAGAAAACCTTGCCAATCCAAGGCAGGGTTTTTCCACCAGATAGACATATTTTGGAAGGCAAACCTAGGCTTCTTCAAAGAGAAACACTACAAAACAAGTGTCCTACTGTTAAAGCTGATTTAAGTTTTGGACTGAAATTCACATAAAAATCAGACCTAGCTCTAGATTATGTTCCAACCAGATCTTGTGCTTTTTTCCTCCTCTTAGTCAAAGGTACACAGTATAATAAGAGAGTTTGTGTTAGACTCCCATCATTGGTCCTTCTAAGTCGAATAATAAATTTTGTCTGTGACATGTCACCAAACAACAGCCAGACTAAGCATCCACATAGACTTCTTGCTATTGTTTTTGAACATGAGAGAGCACTCTGAAGTTGGTAACACAGGGCAAGCATCTGCAGGATGTTTTTTCCACACACGCCCCACTGACATTACTATATGGTAGTATTCTTGCACTAATCCCATTTATTTTTAGTTGGGTCTGCAAAGACAATCATTCCAGTATACCTGTCTCCAAATTTCTACTGATTTTCAAACATGAGCTCAATTTATATCATGCTAAAATAATCTGTGCCTTCTTATGAGCTCCAAAAGTACTAAATTACACTAAAGCACAAAACCCTATCAAAGTGCAAGCCAGTCTGAAGGCTTTTATTTCTGTCCATGAAATAGCTTGATATTTAATGGACTTTTTACATACATACATACATACATACATCTGCTTTGCTTCACACCAATTTTACTTGTTGGAAAGCTGAATGAGCTACATTTTCTCCATGTAGTCTCCTCCCTGCCCCAAACAATACCTTTGCATTTTAAACTGAACTGTTTATCAGGCATTCTCATAAAAAAGCAGGAAAGGAAGCTGCTGGGTTGGATCACATCCCTGAATAAATGCTTACACAGTTTAGCTGGCTGCCCATATTCATTCTTAGCAGGGCCTTTAGCACTGTGAGATGTATGAAGTTTCCTGTGCCCATTACTAGAAGGATATCCTGAACCTTGAATTAAGTTCTTACACTTACTTCAAGTTCATTTAAAGTCAACTCTCCCGCTTGTAGTTGTACTTTTTAGTTTAGGTCTGCTGGTGATTCTCCCAAATGTATTCACCTTTAGGATGGATACAAAAGTGGTTACTTAGGCTTCAGGTCTAAGTTTGAAACCACCCTTAAGATCCTCTTCAAGCTGCTGCTTGTCCTTCCAGGATTGCAATACTCTAATAACCCTAATGGACAAGCCCAAGATGCTGCATCAACTCTGATCACATTAGAATTATTGACTGTATCTGAAAGAGCTGCTCTTGAGAAAAGTGTAGCTTATGCATTTGTAAAGTGTAGAAACCCCTTTTAATGTATGCATTTTTAAAAAATCATTTCAGGAAAAGTAGTATCACTTGATTTTTGCTTTTTCTGATTTCAAAGTTCTCAACATAAACAATAATGCAGTGTGAAAAGAACATGTCTTGGCAGGCAAATTGTTCAAGATTATTAAAAAAGATTTTTTCCTTTTTTTTTTTTTAAGGAAAATACACATAGCTGCTCCTGAACCAAAACTTTTAAAAGACTTTGTGGTTGTTAGTTTCTCCTCTATTGCTGCACATAGGCTTTTAAGAACTCCTTCTTGGATGCAGCTACTTTCCTTTTAAAGTGCAAGTCTTCTATGGAAGCCAGCACTGAAGGATATGGGAAAGTTCACAGCACAGCTGCAGCATGAAAATCCTGTGAATGTGACTCCATATGGTTTCCGTGCTTCAGTCAATAAACCTCTGGCAAGCCTTCTTCCAACGACAAGCCGTGCACCACATATCTCTATTCTCCATCCCGTATACTTTGCGACATTTCTTTCCCTCTCCTCTAGGTTTTCTGCCAGAATAATGGAAACAAAGCCTGATTAGTAAGAGGTTTAGTTATCCTACATCCTGACATGACAAGAATGGTATGTTATTGAAAATCTGAAGATTATCAGTTACCTTAGGACTGGAAATGGGATAGCATTGGTAGAAGAGATGTGAAGGGAAGCCAAATGTAGTGTTGCAAGGGGTCCCAATGCCCTTCTCCTGGCCCTATCTCCTTTCCCTAGTCACTCACTGATTGTTTGGTGGTTTCCTGGCTTTTCTTTCTATTCTGAAAGGAGGAAATACCTCTGCTAAGGTTTACAGTAAGTGTTTTAATGTACACTATTTGGGGATTTTTGGTATGTTACTCCCATGTCTTTTGCCTCTAGCGCCACCACTAGAATACAGAATTCAAGCGCTTCTTCAAAATGGAACCCCACTCCTTAGGTTGAAACAAGATACCACACACTTATTTTAGTGTCTTTAGAAAGATGTTTCTTCCAAGGATCTAAAGAAAGACCATCTGTTCCATTAATAGCACAATCCTGTACATGTCTACTCATAAGTAAGCCCCATGGACAACTCCTAGCTAGATGTGTAAAGTACTGCAGCTGAACTATTTACAAATGAAGTTGGCAACTGTTCTGCAATATTCAACTGTGGGGAACCCCCCCATTTATTTATATAGTTGGGTATTTTTACCCCGTCCAATACACAGTGGGTCTCTGGATGGCCTATTTTAGGGCCTGGTAATAAATATCACACTCTTTCAAGCTCTTCTTATTCATCCTCTACAAAAATAATTTATGTTATTGAAATTATACTAACTTTATAGGGAAATTTGTATATGTACTTATTTATAAATAATGTATGCCACTCTATAGCCCAAGGGCTCTCTGGGCATCTCACAAGAAACAGAAACAACAACATAGCATAACTATAATAAAATAAAACGATATCATCTAAAACCACATAAAATCCAACTAATATAAAGTTTGAAAACAGGAGGGTAATAAACAACAATAAAACCAGCAGTAAAAAGCAAATAAAGCCATGGTTCTAAACCCCGGTCTTTACTTGACTCTAATAAAAAGGTCTTTATTTGGTGGCAAAAACTGCTGTGGTGTTTGTTTTATTCTGTTCATTTTTTGTAAGCTGCCCCGAGATGCTTGTAGTGGATGGGTTAGAAAAGTTTTTAATACATAAATATAAATAAATAAAAACAGAGAAACCAGGGTGCCAGTTGCACCTCTTTTGGGAGGGAGTTCCAAAAATATTTATATAATTTTCCAAGAATTTCCTAGGTAGAAAACAAATTAGAAGGTAGGTATTTGTTTATTGTTATGTCTTTAGATAGAAGGTAGCTTCATGTGTATTTTTATGTACTTAGAAAAAATAATGAGGATTTAAAATAGGTAATATAAAACAAAATGACTCTTTTTAATAACCTGTTGCTATTTAGATTGAAAAGAATTTTATTTAAATATTTGCAGTGCAGAAGTATGTTGATTTCAGTTCCTCCTATCCCAATTATTTTAGTTCATAACCATGGAAAGTAAAACCTCTCTTACCTTAGGCCAATTGATGCTCTTGGTGGTGATGACAAAACTGTCTGAATCTGTTGCTTTTGTTCTCCACTCCCTGCAGGGCGTGTGTGTGTTGGTGAAACCTATCAACAGAGACAGAAATACCACTTTCATTGCAGAATATCAATTGGAAGTCACTCACACTATACCCTGTTTTTCAGAGGCTGGCCTACCAGCTCAATTCCTCTGTACTTCCGACAGTCAGTCCAAACACTCAAGCTAGCCTGTGGTACAGTCCTCAAAGGAAGGAAATGTTAAGTGTCTGGGAGCATTGAGAATGAAGTACCACTTGTGTCCATGTGAAGTAGTACAGTCCCAGTCTAGGTCTGTACTATTCTATGTTTGCCCCCACTTCTCTGCCTCATCTTCCTCCTATTAGCTCATTGCCCTCCCTGCTCCTTGAACATACCCAGTATTGTAAGTAAACTGGTGGAAGATATTCTGTGACACACACCTCAGACGCTTCTAGCAGCAGTGAACCTTCTTTGAAAATATGTTTTGTACTATCTTTGAAAATATAGATTTTATGATCTATTCCCATGCACAGCTGTTCAACAGGCTTTTTGTCCCATGATTTAATATGATTCCCTCTTCCTGTAATTTAAACAGGATTCCTGTTCTGTCTTAGTCGGATATCCAGATGCAGTTGAAACAATATGCACTTTAATTCTCTGGCAACACACTTGTATAGCACTTGGTTTTATTTCCTAGGACATTCCATTTTCAGGGTGAGGAAGGCAAACTATTCCACATGTGACAAATAAGGAGTGCTGGTACTCAGACTGACGGACTATTAATGAGCCTGCTCAGAGAAAACAAGTAGACAGCTTCATCAGTTCTTGGCATCTCATTATGGCCTATGCAGTGAAAGCTGATGATATCAGCACAATTAATTTTAATGCACATGGCAAGGAGTTTTCTACCTGCAACTATCCGAGTATTCAAAACTAGGGTAAATGAATCAACTGCTGTCATGTAGGGGAGATACTCTAGCAAAGTCATTGAAGATGCCTCTATCTGCCTTTTCCAAGAGATATAATAACAGAGTTTCCTTCTTCCAACTTCAAAAGTTTGATATCTTCTGAACTAGATTTTTTTTCCTACAAGAACTAGAATGAAATGAGAAAACATTCCACACACAGTATGTTGTAATCAGCCGGTAGGATCCAGAGTAGCACTTAGCACAGTTCCACTTAGACTGAAAGAAGACCACGGAAAAGTGGTTTTTGCTCTTTGTCCTTTCTACTACAGAACCATATACTTCCCCAAAAACTTATGCGGAGGGCTGGGGACCCCATGGAGCAAATGAAAGGCAACACAGGAGGCTTCAGGGTGAACGGGGTATCAGTAACAATTCTCTCTCTGCCCCTTCCTCCAGCAGAAACTTTGGTTGGATCTTGGTATAATCTGTAAACTGAAGGGGCCCTTCTATTCATGGAATGCCCAATCAGTGGCTGTGCTAGTCCCTGAAAGAGCCAGGCAGAGGCCCAAAGGACAAAATAACTGTACAAATTTGCATATGCTAACTTGAATAAGCAAATATACATACATATAGAAGGTACGCTTTCCAAACAGAATTGTGCAAATGTCCCAAATTGTGCTGGCTTAAAACTTACTCTTGATTTACCTACACTTTTCAAGATGGGGAAAAAAGAGTTGCTAGGCTGTATGGCACCTTAAATAGCCACTAACAGACTGCAAACAGAGCATGGCAGACTGGCAATGGGAAGTGTGGAAATGCCAACTATAAGAGCCCATGCTCAGTCTGCAAACATACATAAATTACTAGGGAGTAATCCTCATCGAACATAGTGAGATGAACTTCTGAGTAAATGCTCACTTATTCTTCCTCTCCCTTCACCACCAAGCACAGCAGCGCCAGAGAGAGACCTTCAGACTGGTGCTTTGCGGTTCTTGGTCCCTGCACCAGGTGAGGAGACAGGAAGCACCACTGCCAAATGTGGCTCCATGTTTTGTTTAACTTTTGGTGGTGGTGGTGCTTCCTTTACATTTGGGATTGTAGAACACGTTTACATTTTATTTTTTACAGTTCTTGCATTCTAACTTCTTGAAATTTTGAAATCTATGCAAAATGTTACAATGTTAAATTTGTAGTAGTGTCGTTATTATAAACTCTTAAAGTAACAAAATGCAGAGCTGGATATCTCTTTTAGAACCAAACAAAATTCCTAATTACTAAAGTTTCCTAGTAACTGCAAGGCTACTCTGTTCAGAGGGAAAAAACAAGGTTGTATTAAGATGAATGATGGAAATTGGGACTGTGCCCATTTTGTCAATTTCATAAAACACCTTTTGACAGTTTTCTGCAATTCTGCACATATACAATTTTGCATAATTGTACAGAATCTGATACCTTTTTGAAAAATCCTTCATTGAAAGTAAGTTTCTAGCTTTCAAAAAGGATTCTGACAAAATGCCTCGCCACACACTCCTGAGTAAACTTAGCAGTCACAGAATAAAATGAAAGGTCCACTGATGGATCAATAAATGGTTAAAGAATACTCTAAATGTTCTTATGCTCTTAGATTATTATATACAGTTCTGGTCACCAGACCTAAAATGATATTACAGAGCTGGAAAAAGTGCAGAAAAGGACAAACAAAATGATCAAAATGCTGCAGCAATTCCCCTATGAGGAAAGGTTACAACAGCTGCAATTGTTCAGCTTAGAAAAAAGTCAAGTAAGAGGAGGCATGCTAGAGGTGTACAGAATTAATGCATGATGTGGAAAAACTGGATATGGAGACATTTTTCTCCCTCACCCATAATACTAAAACCAGGGGTCATTCCATGAAGCAGATTGGTAGGTGGTTTAGAACAGATAAAAGGAAGAACTTCTTCATACAATGCATAGTTAAACTACGAAATTTGCTACCATGGGAAGTGGCAATGGCCATGAATTTGGATGGCTTAAAAGGGGATTGGACAAATTCAGCAGGAGAAGGATCTTAATGGCTAAGAATCCTGACATCTATGTGCTACCTCCAGTTTTGGGGATAGCATGCCAATGTAGACCAGTTGCTGAGGGTGCATGATTGGGAAAATAATCCTGCACTCAGCTTGCTTATGGGATCCTGTGGGCAGCTGGTTTGGCCACTGTGTGAACAGAAGGTTGGATTAGATGAACTGTCAGCCTGATCCAGCATGCTTCTCACAAGATGCATGCAAGAATGCACAGGCAGAACCTTCAAAAGACTATCATTCAGCCCAAGCATAATGCAGACTGGTGTGTGAACACACAGACACACACATGGTTATACCACTTGACTTGTTCCTGTGTCAAGACTTCTTTCTACAGTGGTAACAAGATAGGTATTTTTGATTAGACTATTGCTCTTGACTACTTTCCTATTGCAGGGCCATCCAATTCTATACTTCCTTTTGGTTCTGAGGCACTGGCATGAGACAGAAGAGGGGACAATTAACTAGTGCTCAGTTTCCAGGGTTGTGTTTACAATTTTTTTAGCCCTTACACAGCACTGGAAACACATATGAATCAAATAGGACTGAAAGCACTTCTCAGGCTAGAGACACCCATGCCAGGATAGAAGTTCAGTACAACACACATCAAAATGCTTCCATTGTGACACTATGCTAAAAATTTGAAAAATAAAATTAACACTGATACTTTCTAACTATACACACACAATTTTGATGGGAATGGTTAATCACTGGTATTCCCTGAAGCATTCTGAATACTTGCATGCTTAATCCAGTTGCCTTCAGTGTCTGGTTTACAGAGTGACTAATGAGATACTCTGATTTCTTGTGCTACTTGTGCCAATTTTCTGCAGTGCCACAGAGAATAAACCACCTTTATAATTACTCTAGATCAACTATATTGTCATGAAATCAAATTTTGGGAGTATTTTATGCACAGCATGTTCTGTTAAGTGTCTCTTGTTCAAATTGCTGCCAGCATGATGCCTTTCACCACTAGCTGTTTCTTGATGGAATTTAATAAATATTCATTGGCAGAATGCAATGTAATTGATTCAGCTACTTTCATTTTTTATCAGCTCAGCAGGAGACCACAGACTCTACAAAAAACCTCCAAGACATGCCAAAGGTTGACAGTAAGAGGCTTTTGTGATTCACTTGGTGAAGAGAGAAGAAGCGAATAGTGCCTTGCCTTATCGGTGTCTAATTCACACTGTCAGAAAGCAGAGGTTTTGTATAACCAGCATGCATTTCCAAGAAATGGAAAATTCTGGATGTGTAGCCTTAGGTAAAATGCTTTGATATCAAAGGAGACTTCTGCTCAGATTGTGATCATTTAAACACTAGAACAATTATTTTAATGAAAATTAGAATACTGTTCATTTGCTTATAGTCATGATTGGTATTAGGTAAAATGTAAGGCATTATGCACAGGGGAAAATGGTGAACAGAAGGAGCAGAAGCAGATAGGCAGAAGAATGATAGAAAATGATACGGGATTACAATGGATTGCAGTAAGTCAACAAAACCAGTGCTGTGATGAGATGAGCAGAAGGTGAAACAAACTGGGCCTTACAATTCAATGGACTAGAAAACATCCAAAGGAAACTTTGGGATAAGTTTAAATATTTATCTATACAGCGTTTGACTGCCATGGAGTAATTATTTTGAAACTGGGTGGTATCGTAAGAAGCAATAATGTAAATGCAAGACATTAATTAAACCACTACTGAAATGCTTCATTAATTTCCAGGCCTTCTATTCAAAGTGTGCCCAATCTCCCATTATTTATTGATGCCAATGATGCATTCACAGATTGGGCAAAGAAAGAAGATGACCAAGTCTTGCTGTAAGGATATGTTCATTTAGTAAAAGGACAGGAGTGAATCCTGTGAAGCATGTACAACATTATTTAGAAAACCTCCCATTATGTATGTATTTATTTATTGGTGTTCTACTTACTGGAATGCCAGTGAAGGTAACTGGGGGAGACTGCCAAGAGATGCTAAAGCTATTTCCATTGGGTGTGAACTTGGTTGACCCTGGAATGTTCACAGGAGCAGTGGCCTGTTTTAAAAAACAGTCAGTTGGTTAAGGAGGAACATCCTTATTCTACAGAATTATATTGTAAACCAGGTGTGCAGAACCTCTTTCAGGCTGAGGGCTGAACTCTGTTCTGGAGAAGCTGCCAGGCGCCACATTCCCATGGCTGGTGGAACTGAAGGCAAATGGGAGAGGCCCAAAATGTTCAGCATATTTTAGCTTAAAACTCTTACTGAGCTTAGGAAAGGTATCTTAACCTTTTAAAATGGGCAAAAACCAGGCAAGCACCAAATTAATAGTGGTTGGGGGAAAGGGTTTTGGGGGACCTTCTAGAGAACTAGATTTGGCCCCTGAGCTTGAGGTTCTGCACCTCTGCTTTGGGCTGCCTCACAGTGAGGATTACAAATTGGTGTCAATACTGGAAAGGTTGTTTTTGAAATGGCATTCTACCTCTCATTCAATTCCCTGAGGGAATATGATATCCACTGAGTAGAAAAAGAACTACAGTTGATATAATTTATGAGAATTAAAAGTTTAAATATATATATGCAGGCCTAATAAAGAATCATTAAAGGCTTAGATTTTATAAAAGCAGCAATTAAAAGGGATAACAACAACCAGAGCTTTAAAAATGGTATTTGCCAGTTTCTATCACAAAATGATTAAAAGAATGGCAGTGAGCAAGAGGAAACATGACATTATCTGTTAATATCATTTTGAAACAACTAAAAACTATTTATTTATTTATTTAGGAGACTTCTATGCCGTCCCATTCACCAAAACTAGTTGCAGATATCAAGCTGGTTTAACCTGATGAGTTATGCAGCAATTGCAAAGCAGAAGGAAGGGGAAACAAAAGAACAGAACAGCATGACAGCATACAGAGGTTTCAGAATTTAATTACATTACTAAAAAAGAAGAAAAAGGCAGACTAACAAATAAACATTCAATGATTTCTAAAAACCTGCTGGTTTAAGATGAGAGTTAAGACTATCTTATGTTGGTTCAAGCTCCACAAAGCCAGGAAATTGGAAGCTTGGGCTGATACCTTAACAGATGTGTCCTTTAATCAGTGATGATGTTTTGAAACCCCACAAAGTGTATTTGCCTACAAGTTACCCTTCAAGTTTCCTGGATCTTTCAGGCCCAAATCAGAATGGGGAGGATGGAATGCCTAGAACCAGCAAGGAACCCGGTGTTCTGGCCCTGTATTGCTTTTTGAAGCATCAGAGTCTTTTTCTGTTGCTATAGAAATCCTCTTACGAGTTGATCCATGCCTGACTGTTACTTGAAAGCAAGCATAACTGTGGCACTGCCTATTGGTTAGGGCATTACCCTTAGCTTCCAATTGCCTGGATTTGTGGAATATAAGCCAATATAGGATAGAGTTATTTATGATCTCAAACCATCAGGTTATTTTAACACTGACTTTCTCTGCTTTGAAAAAGCAGTGTTCTAGAAAACACAGAGACCCAAACTAAAAGTAAAAAAAAAAAAAAAAGCAGCAGCAAGTCATTAACTGAATAGGTGTGTACAAATGAATAGATTTGGCCTTGTATGTTTTGAATTCCAGAACAGCTTTTTTCCCTCCATCTCTTCATCAGTAAGCAATAGACCCTTAGCTTCAAAGCTATCTTAGTTGACAGTTCCTAACTACTCCTCTCCCAATGCTAATATGCAAGAAGTAACAGTGGAATTCAAAGCACTGGGTATACTGGCAGCATTCTTATTTCAGAGTGAAACTGAGCATGTCCAGCATAGCTCTGCCAGCAGCTGCTTCCATAGGTTTTCATGGGGCAGAAAAACATAGATAACTTTTAAACTGCTTCTCAAAATTTCATCAAAGCAATGGAAGGCACACCTGCTCGACAAGCCTGAACAATGAGAATGAGATGCTGAGATGAAGCTTGGAGTAAATGTACCAATTTTTAGCACATTTTAATTTGCTTTATCTGTGTAAATTTTATTTGATTGGTTTAGAATTGTATATAGTTGTCAACAAAATCGGTAGATTATGGATGGTAAGTTTCAAGTTATTCGTTTAAGAAATACTACTTTTATAAGCAGTAGGACTTTGTCGACAGTTATTCTGTTGCTGCCAACTCAGCTTAACTAGAGGGGCATTCAGTTTCTGACAGGCTGCAGAGCTTCTGTTTAAAAAGACTTGAATGGGGATGCAAACAAAGGATACCAGTGCACCTGCTTTCCCTCATATATAGTGCCTCCTATGGGCTGCTCAGCATCTAAAGTCCTACTGTGGATATCCTCACAGATTGAACTTTAGGCAGGGGACTCCCGGAACAGGGACCCTTCAGTGAAGGCACTGACTTAAAATGTCCCAGCACCCTGTATCAGCTTTCCACAACCTGGTTTCCTCCACATATGTTGGTACATTTCCTTTCAGTCAGCGGCCACTGGCCATGCTGGTTGGTGCATGCTATAGTTAACCCATCTGGAGAAAGTTGGTTTAGGGAAGAGCCAGTGTTGCATAGCGATTTGTACTTGGATTGATATCCAGAAGGCACTGTGACAAGGAATTAGGCTTGCAGTGTCCAGTGCAGGTGTTAAGTGAAGCCATAAAGGCAATCATACTCGTTAGTCATAATTTCTCTGAGAAAGTTGTACAGCCTCAGTGATGGTATAAGATTACCAGCTGCTAGGAATGTGAACTCCTCACCTCACTCTTGAACTAAGGATGTTTGCACACTCTTTTGCTAGAGTGAGTTGGAATAGCTGGACCATCGCTTACTCTTATTTCCCTTGACTCTCAGGAAGCTGTGTATACTGACAGCCTTTGGAACAAATGGAGAGAGAAACTGTATACAATCTATGACAGAGGTAATTGTTCTTTGGCTCTCTACCTGGAACTAGAAGCACACAAGGTGTTCAGTAACTATTGCTCCTGATGCTACATCTGTGACATCAAGAAGGCCTGTGACTAGAGGGACTTTCATAAGCTTTTTTTCACTTGCTTATCACTTCTTCACCTGCAGCCACATTTTATCAATATATGCATTTAATATACTGTATACCATCTTTGACACAGATGATTTTGTTTCGCCCTTATTGGCCTTGAATCTTAAGTGAGGTGCCTTGTCTGGACCAGGCAGCTGGGGTTAACACATGGCTAGAATAATGGACTGGGACTCAGATGACCAAGTTCTAGTCCCAACCCTGCTCTGATGCTCACTGGGTGATTTTATGCCAATCACTGACTCTCAGCCTATTCTACTTACCAATGCAGTTGTGAGGATAAAAAGGAGAGGAGGATTATGTAAGCTACCTGGGATTCCTTGCAAGATGAAACATAAATATATTCTCAAGCACCACACAAAACCCTGGCTTTTGCACACATTTATTGCTTCCTGTCATCAGGTTTTGCTCTCTCTCTGCCTGTTTCTGATGCTGTATTGTGATTTTGTTTGATAATCTTTTTGATTTGTTTGATAATCTTTTTGATTTTTTTGTAAGTCTTCTTGAAAAGTACAAAGAAGGGTGGAATATTATTTTTAAACAATAAAAAATAAACACATCTCCTTTCCTTTCCAGAAAAGATCATCCTTTCCTGCATGTCCAGGATGGCTTTTGTAACCAAGTATCAACAGTGGAGCTGGATCTTCCTGCCCATGATGTACACTGGCACAGGGAACTAGAAAGCATATGTGTTACAGGGGCATAATACCATACAACACCAGCACAGGTCCAACGTTTTGACATCATATACCATATCATTTAAATTCCCCATGCACCTTCAACTCTTTCTGATCTTTGCAGATTTTTAAAAGAAAGCAAACCCTATAGAATGCCAGTATGGAAACTCATGGGCTTGGTTCAGACAGAACAAGAAAAAACAGTTCCCATTAAAAGAATGAACCTCAGGAAGATTTCAGTTCATGAACCTAGTCCTCAAATACTTCTCTTTCCTTCTTTTCTCTTCCCATGGGGAGGAGAAGCTCTTGATTTAAACTACCCACTGATCCCTGTGAAAACAGTAAACTCTGCAAGCTAATTGAGATGCTGATTTGATCTGATCTTGGCCTATTCTCACAAGTCATTGTTTAATCAAACCACTATCCATCAAATTCAGGTATCAAAGGAAGCTGCAGCTTGTTCAAAATAACAAATTTCTGTGGGAGGACATGAAAAAGGAAACAAAGAAGTAAGATATACAGAAGCCTTACTCTTACCACAGCTGATTCAACTAATTTGAAACCATGATTTCTTGATGTTTAAAGGAACTCCTATGTGTATTTTTTTTACCTGGTAAGCATGGTCAGAGTGAACGAGGTAGAGGTTGGTAGGAGCTGAGCGGCTTAGAGGTGTCATCCCTTTAGCATCGGTTTTGGCACATGATAATTCACTTTTGCTCACATCTTGGGATGGAAAAGAAGGAGGAGATGCTAGAGACGGGGAGATGGGAGACAAGCTACTTAATCCATCAGCTACTGAGTCAGTGTTGAGACGTATCTCTGTGTAGTAAAAATCTTCCTCTCCATCACTGTAGTCAGATTCACCTACACGTCTAAATCAATTGAAGTTCAAGAAGTTATTTGTAGCATACTAAATTCATTATAGTAAAATAGAACTGTTGCATTAGTATATATGAACATAAAAAGAAGTTGCATTCCTCTCACTTATTACCAATGGTATGAGCGGTATAAATACTCTTTTCAATCTGGTATTGATTTTTAAATACACGGGGACATGTGTATATGTATATACACACACGTATACAGAATGAAGGCAAACTACTCTTATTTCTTAAGCTTTGATCTAAAAGGTTTGCAAGTGAAATAGTACTTGCATTTGTATATGCATATATACAAGACATGAATACAATCAGCTCTATAACACACTTTTGCATATTGGGCAAAAATATCACTGAAGCTTGAATTTTTCGCTCACAATGGGCAATATTCAATACTGCCACTGTGCTACCTCTGTTTATGTTGCACTAGCAGAATCTACCACTGATACAACAGAAATAAGCAGTTCTGACAGTAATCCCGAAAACTAGAGAAATCGCTCCTTTCCAGCACAGGAGAGGTCAGCGGAGCACCTTTCTGACCCATCCTGTTCTTGAAGTAAGTGCTTCACTCATTTATGATCACTGCAGACTTCTACTAGCTTCCCCCTGTGCTAGCAGTGCATCCTGCTGAAGTGCGGGTGGCAGAAGATACTGCCTAATATCTGAGTGCACAAACAGCAGCTGCTCTGCACGTGGGTGTTCCTGGATTACATTTTACTCTTAACTCTGCCACTAACTGAAGATCAATGTATACTTTCAGTAAAATCATGTAGTAAAGCCCTTTCTGCACTGCATGATCTTAGCTTCCATTCAATGAGTCTATCTTTGGATACAAAACTAGGGAGTCAATGGAAAGTGTCCTGCCTAACCTTCTTTTAGGTTTCGGGTTTGGTGACCTATGGGGGACCGTTCAACATGCCCAACCCAGAGCCTGCAACAGACAGGTTTATCAGTTGGTTATTCTGCTTGTAGGAACAGGAGCTAAGCCGTTGTTCCTTGGATCACTTGCTTAGCTTCTGTTCTTCTACTGCTCTGTTAATAATTGCAGGTTATATTCATTACACAGATAGATTTAGGATTTTCATAAATCTGTATATAATATTCAAAAACATAACCAGCAATCATTCATGGAAGATACATGAAAAGACCGAATAATGTTAATAACATTCTTAATGAAATTGAAAAAATATTTTGGGATGCTAGTTTCCCAAATTATACTGCAATGATACATTCCCAAATGTTCAATAGATTTTCTCATCAGATGAGAAAAGATCCAGAGCTCAGGGGCAACCCTATGCTGTATACCCTTGAAGTACAAACACCTATAACTCAGAGGTCCATGTGTATCATATGCTTGGTAGGTTAGGGTAGAAGTTCAGCCTAAGGGGTATTAGCCCCAGAGCTGAAAAATAATCCTGTGATCTGCCAAGCAACATTGTGAGACCATAGGATGTCACCCTTAATATATTTATTTTCAAGTATACAAAATAGAAAACCAGAAATAAAATTTAAAAAGCAAAAAACAAAACAAAACAAATTGAACCAAGCAATAACAATTTATTGAAAAAAGATGTCAAGTCCTAAGTAATTTTTCACTCCCTATCATCACGATCATTTATTTATTAGATTTACTGGAAATATAATTTTATTTAGATCTGCAGAATAGAAGACATGGGGCTACCTTCCTTTATCCTTATGACAAGCCTGAGAGGAAGTAAAGGTTGAGAGCACATGCACATGGAGTTGTCCCATACTGAGCATTTCCCAAGTGAAGATTCAAATGTATTTCTCCCCAGCCAGCCCCATATTACAAGTCATATTTATGCAAATGTAGAATGCACAGAATAAGGATGACATTTCAGAGAAACCTTTGATTGAAGGTATTTAGTCTATGGTAGCCTTCTCCAACCAGCTACCTCCAAACCAGTACTTTCCAGATGTTTGAGACTAAATTCTCCAGCGTTCTTGATAGATAATGGGCCATGCTGGGTGCAGCTGACTGAGGATTATATCTAAAACAGCTGGAGGGGCACAGGTGCAAAAAGGCTGGTCTGTGGGAATCTTCAGTGATGAAGATGTAATGTGGTGCATCTGAGAATTCTAATACATTGTTATGAAAATAAATTACAGGGACCATCAGGGTTGTGTGCTCTACTTCTCTTTCCCTGGTGCAGCTGCAAATTCAGAAGCTTTTTGATTAACTACTGTTTAGGGTTACAGCTGAACACTAAACTGTGATTAATTTTTAATCATGTTTTGTTGGAACTTTATAGTGTTGCAGTTTGATTGTTTCAAACAGATTGTAGTGTGTGGGATTGACAAGATTTACTGTATTTGATCAATTCTATATCTGTCATGAGGTAACTGAGTGAAAAAATGTATTTTAGGAACTTGGCAAAGCAAATTACCACAGGTAGGTTGGTTAATTCTTGGAAATAAAAACCTTCCTGATATAGGGGCTGGGCATTCACAAGGGGTGCTTCAGAAGTCAGCTGTAATCCCAGCTACATTAAGAAGGTCTCTTAGATCTACGTGCAGTATTTATGACTAGAGCTGAAGCTCCTGTTTGAGTTAAGGTGCACAAATTTTTAAGGTAAAGCATCTGAGCTAATGTTAGAATGTTACAAATACTGACATTTTAACATGGTTGAGCAAAGAGATACTGGGAAGAGTAGCCTATCAAACATGACTAGAAAGCACTGCCGACCACACTTGGCAAATAGGTATAAGTTCTCAAGCGAAACTGCTTGTTGGGTGAGAGGACTAGAACTTCAGTTTAAACAATACTAGCCACAATTTCAACTAGATTTCTAATCATCCTGATTACATTGCATGTGATGATGCAACTTGTTTTATCCTTGCAAAGCTTGCTGCTGCTGCTGCTGCTGTTGTTATATGCTGTCAAGTCAATCTCTGACTTAGGGCGACCCTATGAATGAAAGCCCTCCAAAATGTCTTGTCCATGACAGCTTTGTTCAGCTCTTCCAAGTTTAAGACTTCCTTTATGGATTTGATCCATCACCTATTTGGTCTTCCCTTTCATATTCTGTCTTTGACTTTCCTAACATGATTGTCTTCTCCACGGAGTCTCGCCTTCTCACCATGTGTCCAAAGCATGACAGCCTTAGTTCTGTCATTTCTGCTACTGGCTTGATTTGATCAAGGACCCACTTGTTTGTCTCTCCGTTGAACCAGGTATTTGCAAAGCTCTCCTCCAGCATCATGTTTCAAATGCATCAGTTTTCTTCCTGCCTGCTTTCTTCACTGTCCAGCTTTCGCACACATAGATTGTGACTGGGAATGAAATTGATCGCCAGTAAAATATCTTTATACTTGATATTTTCTAGTTCTTTCACTTCTACCCTTCCACATTTCAGTCCTCTTCTAATATTTTGGCTGTAGTCTCCTTTGAATTGATGACTGAATCAAGGTATGTAAAATCTTTTCCAATTTTGATTTCTTCATTATTATTAAAGTCCTGCAATTCTCCTGTGGACATGATTTTTGTTTTCTTAATATTCAGCTACAGTCCTGCTTTTTGTACTTTCTTCTTGCACTTGCAAAGTTAGTTATTCTCTAATACTGTTTGATAAATGAATATTTACTTTGTTGTACCACTTTTTGTAAATAGCCATTGTATGGGTTACAATACTTGAAGCCCAGAACATTCAGCCAGAATTTATGTACCTGTTGCTGAGTGGGGTTTGTTTATACAGTTTTCCTGGTCAGAGAAGTCATACACAGACCTATTTAGCTAAGAGAAATGTGCTAAATGTTTTACTTATCTCAATATCATATTTAAGATTAAGCAAAGTTTTTATATTGTCAACACAAGGAGCTACAGTTAACAATAAAACAAACAAAAACTTCTGGTTTCCTTATGACCACACTGGAGTGCTGGTGTGGGGTGGGAAGCATGACCTAAAGAATAAGGGTTATGAATGACAGGAATCACTTTTCACAGGAAACAACTCTTAAATATGTACAAAATGCCTATATTTTATATGCCTATGAAATGTAGCATGGAACCTATATCTTTGCCAAAATCTCAGTGGTAGTAAAATAGAAATACAGTAATACAATCGCTAATAGCTACAATGTAAGCATATAGACTTGGGTATAAATCTCAGTGAAATAAACTAGATTTGCTTCTGAGTAAAGGTTAGGATTTGGAGAAAAGTCTTTTTGGTAGTTTGAATGATAGTTCTCTTACCCAAGGTGAATGGTCCGGATGTGTTTTTGAATACCAACAGCTGTGCTTAGTACCTTTCCGCAGTTTTTCCAAAGGCATTTAAACATGACCTTCATGGAATTCTGAGAAATTCAACAGAAGTGGGGAAAAAAACATTACATAATTTTTTCACCTATTTGTTTGACTTCCATGGATTATAAAGCAGGCCATAGTCTGCTAACAAGTACACTAGAGGAAATCCAAATTAAAGCTACAAGTTTAGATAACATTTATTAAGGAAGAAGCCCATTGAACAGACTGGGACTTACTTCTGACTAAATATACAAGTGCAATTTAAGTCCACGATTCAGATACAGAATTGTACAGATATGCAACCCTGCTAAAACAATGGAAAAATACTGTTTTATTTTGAATATTATATCCAAACAACAAGCAGTAGTTAACTCTTCCTGTACTGTGTTTCTGTTTGCTTTCAAAATATAAAACCCCAAAACAACCCACCACCACCACACTGGGAACAAGTGACAGCCCCAGTCACAGTTGGGCATGGACTTCCTATGGTCCAAAGGTAAAGCAAAGCCTCATACTGGCATGAAAAGCAGTACTTTATTTGCAAGAATTGTCAGTGGATTTCAACCAAGAGGGCCCTTTAGGGGCATTAAAACAAATAACGTGGGCGGAACTGGCTGGAGCTGGGGGTCAGACTAGATGGCCTGGGAGCCCCTTCTGACTCACTCTGTTTCTATGACACATATTTTAAAACATGTACAAAACTAAATAATATACCATTTCTTTCAGATGCTATATATGATGCAGTCCTCCCTGAATAACTCAGAATAAGAACCAAATTTTGAAAATTTGGAAAGGGGAACAGCAACAGGCAATTTTAAGGTACATTTGAAGATATATTTTGTTTTAGTGTTGGCGAACAAGAATGTTCATGATTGGCCAGAAATAATAAGCTTGAGCAAGATAAAGTTTTTGGGCAAAAAACTTTGGGAAAAATATTGAGCAAAAGAATAAGCTGTGTACTTCCTTGCCAGCTTCCCTTCCCTAACATGCCTGATTTTTATACTATCTGAACCATGAATTTGTGACTGTAATAAACCAGGATGTAAGTCATGATTAGATCTCAGTTTGTCAGCAGAAATGACAAACAGTACTATTATCAGTACTACTATCACTATAACTATCACTATTATATCCTGCCTATTTCCAGTGATTGAGACTCAAGGCAGCTTACAACATTACAATTCATGTAATTACAATATTTGAAAATATAAAAGTTAAAAATATAATTCAATCAATTAGATATTACAATATAACAGACATCAGATTAAAAACACTAACCAACAATGTAATGAATAAAACTAATCCACCCTACTAGACAGTAGTAAACTGTGCCAAGTTTTTGTTTGTTTGTTTTATTTTTGCAGGGGAACATCAAAATTAAAGCAGTTCCATTAGTAACACCAACCAGAGGACCACCTGACTCGGTTTTATTGGATATGTTTCTGTTAAGACCTAAGGTTGCAGACAAGATGCTGCGCCAAGTCTGGCTGCCCACCATTATTTATCCTTTGCTCTTCATGGTTTAGTACCTCTACTGGGTCCAGTCAGCTATAACTCCTCCTTGAGTGAAGGAGCAGTGCCAACATCTGTAATGGAGGAGATAATTAAGCTGTTCCTGAAGAAGTCTAATCTGGGTCTGAGTGATGGCCACAACTATAGGCCAGTAAGCAAAGTTTCCTTGCAAGGCAAGTTGCTTGAGTGGTGGTTCCCAGTCAACTCCAGGCACTCTTTAATGCAACAGATTCTCTAGATCCATTTAAATTGGCCTAGGGCCTGGTTCTGGAATAGAAACTGCCTTGGTCACCTGTGGGATGGCCTCTGCTGGCAGAGGGATGGGGGAGTGTTACCCCTCTTGGATCATTGACCATGTCATCTGGACAGGTTGCCTGGACTAGCAGTGGGAAGCAGTGCATTGCAGTGGTTCAACTTGTATAGGGATGGTAAATTTGAGAAGGTGGTATTGTAGGACTTTTGCTCTGTGCCTTGACCGCTATGCTGTGGCATCCCAGAGGGCTCTTACTATATCCCCCACATTGTCCAACATCTGTGTGCAACCACTGGGGAAGGCTAATGAAAGTGTGGCCTGAGGGGTCATGAATAGCTGATAACACCCAGCTCTGTTTCTTCTTTTAATCAAGACCAGGTGAGGCAATGACTGTGTTGGATCAATGGCTCTGCATGATAATGGACTGGATGAAGGTCAATATATTGAGACTCAATCCAGACAAGAAGAGGTACTATTAGTGGGTGGTTTGGCTGCCTGGATGAGTTATATTCAATCTGTTTGAGGAGAGGATTGCACTCCTAAAGGATCAGGTTCCTAGTTTGCGGGTGCTTCTGTCACTAGAGGTACAGGCCAGGCTCAATGCTATGGAGCACTTTTTATCAGTTTAGGCTCATATACTAACCATATATGGACACGTAAGCAAAGTTTACAAAGTTCTGGTAACCTCTCAGCTGGATTGCTGTAACAGGTAATTCATCTAGCTGCCTTTGGAAAATGGCCTGGAATCATCAGCTGGTCCAAACTATGGAAGCTAGGTTAACAAATGGGAACTAACCAATGGGACCAACCAATATTAGGCCAGCACCATGCCATCTGCAGTCTCTATCAGTCCATGACTGAGCCTGATTCAAAGTGCTGGCATTAAGATTCAAAGCCATAATCCACTTGGGACCAGGTTACATGAAGGATTGTCTCCTCCTATATATTCCACCTTAGATCTTAAGTTTATCCTCAATGATCCTTCCCTGGAGCCCCTGACAAACAAGGGCGGTGAATGCTAAGAAGTGGGCCTTCTTTGCTGTAGCATCCTGGTTGTGGAATGAATTTCCAGTAAGGCTTACCTGGAAACTACATTGTGCTCATTATGGTACAAGGTGAAGAGTAGGAATTTTAGACTTTCAGTCTCTGTTGTTTTAAATCCTTTCAGTATTTTAAATCTTGTGTATACTGTTGTTAGATCTTACTCTGGCTTTTACTTCTATTTTATACTTAAAATTTTATGGTGCATTTTATGGTTTTCGTTGTTTCAAAAGACACAGAGACTTTTGACTATTGACTGGTACAGAAATGTAATAAATAAAGCAAAAACTTACCTTCCTTTTTCTAGGAATGGGCTCATCAAAAAGGAGGCTGCTAGTTTCAGCCTCATCAATGCCATCATCCATTTGAGAGGACAATCGAAATGGTTTGAAGCTGTCAGCAGAGAGAGGTGGTGATGGTGTGGATGGGTTTGATTGGTCACTTGGAGCACTCCAGCTCCAATACCCACTGCTGCTGGTACTAGAAGGCACAAATCCTCCTTCTTTCCAAGATCCATTTAAGGACTCTGTACATTCAAAAAGATCAAAATCAAGTATGAGTTGAGGTTGGATAGCGCTGGATAAAGCAACTAAGAGGACATGTAATCCTTTGGCCTCCTAACATTGTTGGGGGTGGGTGGGCACATTCCCACCTCTGAATTCCTGCGGCCCTGAAGGACTCCAAACACACAGCCCCTGCCCTACCCCACACCCCTCACAGCCAGCATGGAAAACATGCTCTAGTTGCCTCTTTGAGGCTGGAAATGGGCACTGGAAAGGGCTAAAGGAACAAGTCAGGAGTGGGTAAGGAGGGAAGAGGCAAGGCCATTGGCTTATGAAATACCCAAAAGGCCTCACATTCCTTTGCTCTTCCTTCGCAGTGATTCTAGAGAGTTGAAAAAGGCCATCAGGATGAAATACAATCTGTGGTGTGTCCAGGGTAAACGAAAGGTCTAAGTCCCCATCCTGTATGTCCCACCCTCTCAATTCACATCTTGTTGTGCCAAATAGCAAAGTCCAAGTGGGAGTAGATCTCTCCTACCTGATCCAAAGAGGCTGCTTTATCAGGGTACCCAACTGTGTGAAGAGGTATACTTGCATTCAAGCAAAGGTGAGTAAAATTACCATTCAGACTTTTCCACTCAACACAGCAAGGTGTAAACTGAGGGTGGGGGTGGGACTCGGTATATATTCTCTCTCTGCATATTTAGTCAACTATGTTCAGGACTTTTGTCAAGTCTGTCTGCAGAAATATCAGTTGCACATTGGTAAGAAAATGGTTTTTGTGAACCTTCTAACAATGTATAACACCTTCTGAAGTTTCTTTTGTATCTGAAGTCCAGGGGAACAGACTTCAACATCTTTAAATAGTTAAAGATGCTTTTAACTAGCAATTAACCTAAAAATATTCCCTAAATAGCAGCTCACAGAAGCTACTAGAGTGAAGGAAAGCAAATGTTCAAACAGTGGCCCTACACAATAAATTATTTACAAAAATAGAGTTGCACTTACTACCTGCCTATATCAATACCAGGTTAGCTGGTAACAATTACAAGGTATGTAGCTCATGTGCCTGTTTGTACAGTGCTTTATTAATTTTTTACAAAATGTATCTAACCACATCTGGTATTAACTTCCAAGCTGAGCACAGTTAAAAATTCTGTTTTTTCAGATGCCAAAGGAAAATAATAACAATAAAAGTATGACTTTCATTTGGTCATTTAGGGTACAATCTTAAATGGCTAAAAAATTATGGTATGCACCCTCAGTGCCTGCATGCTCTTGAACTCAGGAGGCTGATGGCACTCTCTGCCGTATGGGAGGTGACAGACGTGATCTTCACACCAGCCTCACCCAACCCTAACCCCCAGCCTCCTGCCCTACATTTTTGCTCGATGGAATTTTCTGCAAGCATTTTAGAAGGCTGGGAAAGAAGCTGGAGAAGCCTCAGGATGGCTTAGATCCCAGCATTTCCAGTCTTCTGACTCCAAAAGGGGCTCCCTTTTGTCTTTCTCTGAGATTGTGTTCCCAGCTATATTTTTTATGTTTTAGTTATTAAATTTATACTACACATTTTTTCTTACAATAAACTCAAACTGGCTTACATCATTCTTCTCCTCCTGCTCTCAGTCTTATCTCCACAACAACAGCTCTGTGAGGTAGCTTGGACTGAGAGTCTGTGACTGGGTCAAAGTCACCTAGTTAGCTGCATGGCTGAGTGGTGACTGGAAACCTTTTGTCTCTTGCTGAGATTGTGTTCCCAACTTTAGAGAGGCAGCTGGTGAATTTCCCTCTGTGCTGACTGCAAGAGAGTCAGATGCTGTTGAGGAGCTGTAACACTGCTCCCTTAAGTATGACATTTCTGTCTCATTTGGCTTTCCAGTTTTCCTTTATATTTCTTGGGGGGAAAAAAGATGGGAGCACGAAAGGAGGGTGAACACAAAGTAAAGCAACATACTAAAAGATTTCCTATCACTATTTTTATAATTCTCCATCTTATTGAAATGAGAGTAACAATTTGATCTTATGCTCTGCGTATATGCACAAATGCAAGTTTCTTTCCCATAGTTCTCCTTTAAAAACAAATCTTCGGCCTATACATTCATGGGACAGAACCCTTAGACCACAGAGCTTTTGTGGTTCTCATTTCCAGAATGTGGTAGGTCGGTGGAGCTTTCAAAAGGGAGCTCTGCTGACTATTCCCTTTCCAGAAATGAGCACCATTTTCCAAGGTTACTTACAGAAGCACAAAAGCCCCACTGTGTAAGCAGTGGGTACTACAGGTACACAGAGGTGGAGTGGCCCTGTTGAATACCATAGGGAAAAACAAGTGAAAATAACATCTTAGAACAGTTTTGGGCAGAATGCAGATCTCCAGATGGTTTGGACTTCAGTGCAGAAGGCTGCACGCTGGTACTTAGTCATTGGCAGGCACACTGAGAGCTGAAGTCTAAAACATCTGGAGATCTACTTTCTGTCCATTGCTGACCTAGAGCCTGCCACTGGGAGAGGATGAAAGGTGAAGGAAAGAAACTGCTTAACTTTTCTTGACATTTGCCAACTCAAAATTGATTCTTCTGTCCCCTGGGGAAAAGGGAATCATAACTTATTCATTAGCCACTCTAGCATGAAACTACCATAGGATAATGGTTCCCAGATTTCTCTTTCAGTTTGATTCCAGCATGGTTCTTTCCCATGAATTATAACATAAATTGAGATTATGTGCAAGAGAGCCCTCACAATTTTTGTCAGGCGTTTATGAATGCATGCTTACCATTGGGTCGGACAGGAGGGCTGTGGACCAAAGGGCTGGTAGATAAACTGGTTAGTACCATAGCTGCCGTGACTTTATCCATGTCCACTTCTTCTGAAGTTTTCCTGAAAGAAAAAGTGAAAAAGCACACACATCAGTAGCAAACAAAGGTAGGCCTGGTAAGAAATAATTCTTATTATACAGGTCCTGTAAAGAGTAGCACCCAAAAGCAATAGTTAGCTCATCAGTCAGGGTGCAAGACACCTGTTGGCTATTGCTGCTTCAGATGTTCTGCTTCCATACAGCAAAACAAACTCACTAACTGATAATGTGCATCAATCACTTCTTTCAAGTTAACTAAACTCCTTTCAAAGGACTATCATTTGCATTATGAGTGTCTGTTTCTTGATTTGCATTTTGAATTAAAACAATAGAAACAAAACAGTAATATTATTGCCCTCTCTAGACATTACATTATTTAAATTTAAATTTTTATTTGCTATTTCTTGATGTTTTGTGATGCATTTTAAGATGTGTTTTACTGGATTGTTGCATGCTGCCCAGTGAGCTTTGGCTCTTGGACAGTATAGAAGATAAATAACAAATAATACATTAATTTGTACCCTGACTTTCTACCACAAAATGGCACCCAAGCCAGCTTTATAAATATTCTATTATCCCAGAAACTCCGAATAAGTTACAATGTAGTTAAACCCACAGCATTTAGAAAGAGATAAATACACCAAGTCCTCATTAACATCAAATGCCAGCCCAAATAAGCAGGTCTTACAAACATTTCAAAAGATTATCCAGTTCAGACTTTGAACATAACTTCAGTGGAAGAGAGTTAGGCAATTGTAGGGCAGTCTCTAGAAACATTCAGGATGAAATGCAAAACTGAGTTAGGTATCAAAGGGATTAGGCAGGGCTAACTTCATCTGGATCGTGGCTTTTATATTTTAAAAAGGAGAAAGTAGCCTTTTAGGCACATCTTTGGGCTCTCAGTGGCTAGATGATACAGGGAGAACTAGTCTTTCAATAATGTCCCAACTAGATGGTACATGAGAAGTACATTAAAAAAAACTATCAGATATTTTTAAGTTTTATATAAAATGCAGCAGAAAGAAGCTACAAATTTGGAAGGTGCAATTGTACACACAATTTCTGTATAATCTAGCTGGGACTTCATTTAAACAAACAAGCAAGCAAAAATTAAAATTAGGGAATAAGTTTACCCAAAAGTGTATGTGAAAGCAATAAGTGTATTTGCTCCACTTGGCTGAAGAACTGCAGCAACATGGAATTTATTTTTGTACTACTTAAAAAAACAACCCAATCTCAATTTCCCATGAAACTAATTAGACAAAGTACCCTCAAGGCAAACATAGTGCACTTTAACACAGATTCAGCTAATGAATGGTAATCATCTTAAGTGTCAGGTAGAGAAAGGAAAGCTAACTTCACATGTAGTGACAATGTACTGAAAAGTCTATCTATTCAAAACCTGTTAAAAAAAAAAAGAAGAAGATTCCCAAGAGGCTAATGCATTTCAGAAACTATGCTTGATAATGTACTTAAGTGAAGGGTGATGATTTTTTCACTATGTTCTCTCCATTAACATTTACTGAATTATCAGTATTCAACTGATTTACTAATGTTGCAGACATGGTGTATTTCTATTTTAGTCATTCTGTGGACTGGCAAGAAAACAGTGTACTGGGGAAAATGGTGTGGAAATTGGTTATACTTCTGGATAGTGTACTCTGTACACTAGTATACTCTGGATAGTTCCAAATCAGACCAGTCAACGTGTTTTACATGGGGATGTATTGTAGGAAAATACTACTGGTTCAGAACAGGGTTGCTAGCTGAATTTTAAAATGTCATACAGGGATTAATTTTCAAATCCCTACACAGCTTTGAACTTGCGTGTCTAAAAGACCATAATTCTACATGAACTCTCTTTCATTTAAGACAACCATCAGGAATTGTTCTCCAGGTTCTCTTTACTGTCAAAGCCTAGGAGAGTAACAAGAGTTAAGCTAACTTGAGGAAAGGACCTTCTCCATAGCATAACCAATTCTGGATCTCTCACTCTGATCCTTTGTGGCATCCAGGCTGATGAGCTTCAGCCGAACCCAGAGCATTATGTTTTCTTGGGCCTTTTGATTAGTTTATTGTTGTGGGGGGAAGTAATTTTCTATGTTTTAGCTTGCTGTTTTGTAGTTAGTTTTTTCTGAGTATTTAACCTTTGTTAAATTGGTGGCCTTTGTTAACTCTTAAGCTATTTTAAAAATCATAAAAAGGTGGGATGTAAGTCTTTCAAAGGATATTAGTTAAAAATTAGATTCTTTCAAGGTTGGTGGAAGGAAGGGCAGTGTATTCTGCCATTTCATGCATTTTCCCTTACATGAACTTTAGAGTGAGACACAAAAAGAGTCAAAATGCCTGATGGCATAAAGCTGACCAACCAATTATCAGGTGACTGGAGTAAGGTAAGGTTACAACATCTGGACTTGTTTAACTTAGAAAAAAGGTGAGTAAGGGGAGAGTAGAACAGATGGATGTACAGAGTTCTGTATGTGTAGAGAAAATGGATAGGGAGACATTTTTCCCCTCCACCCTAATATTAGAACTAAGGGTCTTTCTATGAAGCTGATTGGCGGGAGCTTCAAAACAGATAAAAAAAAAAAACATTTCTTCATGCAGCACATGAAGATAACTACAGAATTAACTTCCACAAGATGTGATTGTCACTAGTTCAGATTGTTGTAATAGGAGATTAAATAAATTAATAGAGGGTAAAGCTGCTACTGCTGATGACTATAAACTACCTTAAGAATCAGAGTAAGCATGCCTATGTATACCAGGTGCTGGGGAAAGCAGGCAGGAGGATGCTGTTACCCATGTCTTGTTCATAGGTTTCCAATGGACAACTGGTTGGCCACTATATGAACAGAATGCTGGACCAGATATACCTCACAACATGGTCTTGTGTTTTTATGGCCTTAAAAAGTGCATGATGTTTGAACATAGGAAGCTGTCTAGTACAAGGTCAGACTATTTCTCCATATAGCCCAGGGCCTCAGAAGCTTTCAGCCCAAGGGATGAATTTCATTTTATGGCTACAGTCCAAAGGTTTCCAATGGTTACAGTCCAAAGGTGGGCAAGGCCAAAGGCATAAGAAGTAGGATGAAAGGGAACAAAATAAACAAATAATACAATAACTCAAAATAGTAAAAGAAAGAGTTAAAACATACTTTTTTAAAAACTCTCAGTAGCAAACTACCAAAGTACCTACCATACCTTTTTTTAACTCTTAAACTTTCAGAATCAGGAAAGAACTGCACAAAATCCAGGTGACCACCAAATGATCTGTGCTTGGGAAAATGGGGGTGAGACCATTTGGGTTGCCCCAGAGGGTCAGACTGGGCCAATAGATAAGGGTTGGATAGACTGGATTTGGTCTCTGGACTTGAGCTTCTGCAACTCTGCTCTAGCCAATACTGTCTACCTTGACTGAAAGTGGCTCTCCTGGGTCCCAGGGACAGGCATTTTTCTTCAACTGTTAACCAGTCCTTCTAAATGAGAAGTCAGGAACTAAACATGGGGTTTTCTTCATATAGTGCATGTCCTATACCCCTGGGCTATGGTAGAAGTGAGGCTTTCATGCACTGCAGTGATAGTTTCCCTTCCCTGTCACTAATAAAATTTAAAATGAATAAAACTATACAAACTGATAACATTTATTCAAATCAACAGGCAATGACATTCAGTTTCTTGTTGCATGTATAATTAGCTATTTGTTTTAAGCACAGCATAGTAAAGAACATACTTTGTATGAATTCAAACTTCAACCTGATGGCATCCCCTGTGAAAATTTTCCGTTCAAAAAAACTCAGAAAGACCTGGAAAATATTTACCAGGGGAGACTATATTAAACTAATCTGAATATTGGGTTTTATATGAAAAATAAAAACTAGGCAGAATGAGAACATAAGTTTGCAAACATATTTTGTTTCTATTCAGCTTAAAAATATTGCTGACATTTGAGACCAAAACAATATTTGTGTTCCCAGAAAACATGCTTCTTAATCACAACAACTTCTTAATCCCAATAACCCCCACTAGGCAGGATGATAATTTCAGCCAGAACATCTACTTATTACCTTTTAGGCTTGCTGTGGGGAGGAGAGAGCAAACAACTATAAAAAGCAATTGTTGTGCCCTTAAAAATATTAGTTTTTAATATTTAGCACCTATTGAAAATGACACCTAACATTTCAAATATATATTCAGTTTCAATAAGTTAAAAGCTTCTGCACCTCTGTGACAGCCAAGTAATCTTAAGTTGGCCTCAGTATCATCTCTAGAGTAGAAATGTGTGTTTTAAGAAGAAAAAAAAGCTTGGGTTCTCATATTGTGCTTTCCTGAAAGGCACATGCAGAGACAGTAAAGCAAAACTTGTAGGGATACTTGGCAGTGTGTGTTCAGAAGTGCATGCTCACTTCTTTCTCTGAGATTCTCCCTGTAAATGTTTTTTGGGCCATCTGAACAGCAGTCTTAATGAGTTTCAATAGCTTACTTTCAGTGAACTGGGTATAGGATTGGAGCCTCAATTAATTTCTGAAGCTGGGCTTTGAAACCAGAAGCAAGCTGAATTGTGTTTGAAAAGTAGCATTTACAATCACATGAAACACCCCCATGGACACAGAAATTTCTCCTCTTCAGTCTGTCATGCTGCATGAATGTGGGGCAAGGGAAACTTGAGAAGCAGAGGGGGGCAGGGTCAAGGTGCACCCGCTTCCCCCATATGCATGTAGTCTGCATAGATTTCTGAATGCCCTAATAAGGTTACTTAGGAGTCCTCCTGAGGGTGACTCCACACCTTATGTGGTCACAACAAATTACTGTGTACACCAGTATTTTATCAGTGTTTTCCTCAGCAAATATATACAGCTTGGACAATATATGCACACTTTTCAACATGCACAAGATATACAAGTTGGGCTAGGCTCCCAAACATAGTCTTTTAAAGAAGAAGATTTATAATCCACACGTTGCTGAGACACATAGCAGCACCTCAGCAGTATTTGTGTCTGCTGCCTAAAATGCAGAACTTTCC